ACAAATTTTAAAAAAGCAAATGTCACACTCCAGGAATGAACGATTCCAATACCGAGACAGCACTACATACATTGGTGGGGGGAAGTGCAAAGATCCCCAATGTCTGAAAACAGGGGCTGGTGACCTAAACTCTACTCATATAATAAAATGATATCCAGCCAATAAAAAGGATTAAGTAAATCTCAATATTCAGCATATATAATGAGGCTCATAGAGCTAAATTTAAAAAGGGAAACTTTGAAAGCATTATCCTAAGTGAACTAAGCCAGAAACAAAAGGCCACATACTGTATGCTTCCACACACAGGAGATGTCCTAAATAGGCAAATCTGGAGACAAAATTTTTATTGTGGTTGGAAGGGCAGGGGTGAGAGGTATAGTGTTTCCTTTTGGGGGTATGGAAGTATTCTTAAGATAGTGGTAATTGTTGTACAATCCTGTAAGTATAATAAAACCCACTTAGTCATACTCTAAAATGGTGCATTTTTTATACAAATTTTATCTCAATAATGAAAACTTTAAAAATAAGATGTGTACTGTGTGTATTCAAATGTGTATATAAGTCACTGGGAGGAGAAAGAGAATACCTGTATTTTTATATGGCAACCTGTTTCCATGTGGATGGCCTTCAAAAACATTACGCTAAGTCAAAAAAAGCCAAATATAAAGGCCCATATATCATATTCCATTTAAATTAACTTCTAGAACATGCAAATAAATCTATAGACAGTTAGTGGTTGTCAGGAGGTCATGGTGGGAATTGACTGTAGTGAGTAAATGCATATAAATTTTAGGGAAGTTAGGAAAGTGAAATTTGGGGGGCAACTTCCCTTTCTTCCATTTTCTGGTATTGCTTTTCTCTTTTTTTTCTAGGCAAAATTATTATTTCTGCCTTTAATAAAATCCATCATAAACCCTCCTCTCTAACTCTACAAAGATATTTTAGATGTTTTAGCAGTTGCTCTATCTCCTATTTTCCCTCTCCATATTTCAAAGTTTACTTACACAATTTATTTTAAGTATGTGCTTCACAGGTTTTAGTAAACATACTGTTGTGTAACTATGGCCACTCAAAAAGCTTCCTCTTGCTCAATGCAGTCAATTCCCACCATGACCTCCTGACAAATGTTAACTGGCTATCTATAGATTTATTTGCACATTCTAGAAGTTAATTTAAATGGAATATGATATATAGTCCTTTATATTTGGCTTTTTTTGACTTAGCGTAATGTTTTTGAAGGTCATTCACATTGAAACAGGTTGCCATATAGAAATATTCATTTTTATCATGGTGATGGTGTAATTGGAAAAGGAAATAAAGTTGTTTCCACTTTTAAAAGGAAAACAGAAAATAAAAGGGATTTTGAGACCATTCTTTAAAGGTTAAGACTCTACCAAATTCTCTGATACTATAGAAGACCATAAAACTGAAATCCACAAGCAAATGTCATTAAATATAATAAAGACATTTTCAGAACTACATTTTATCTAGGAAAAAAATAACCATATTGTTTTCCTTACTTTTGGGAAAATCAGAGTAAGCCAACTAAGTGAAAAAATAAAATTTACAAGCATTTTACATGTTACCACTCAGTACTTGGTTAAAATTGTGTATATCACAAATGTTGAAAAGCTACTAAAAACACCTTAGTACATAATTATTCACCCTGCAAATTATCCGCAGATTTAGTGCTAGTTTCAGAAATAAACCAAATTTATATATGCAAGGTAAGCCTAATTAGTTAAGCTCACAAAAAATGTATTCGCCGATTTTTAGAACCTAATGTGCTCAAGAAAGTATTTTGCTTTTAAATTAGAACAGCTCTGTATTTAATTAGTCCTCATTTGAGTATGTAATCACCTTAATTTATTTGCACAAACATAGGACATTGTGCTCCATCAGCAATGTTCTTCATTAACAAAGTAGGAACTTTGTGCACAAGAGCAGAAGAAATATTTCCATCTGTGATGCAACATCAGAACTGAATACTATCAAATTTTATAGTCACCATTTGTTGATTTTAGGGTCATCATCCTGAGATGCATATTAATGATAATATATTTTTGATTAAGTACCCTGCCATTCCCTAGAAACCAACAATTTAAATATTTAATGTTTCATTTTACCTATCATCCAGTTATAAAATGGATATTTACTTGGCAATGAACAAAGTAACTTACTAAAATTCAAGTAACAGTATTACAATTCAAGCATCAGTAATTTGTATGGTGCAGAAGCAGAGTTAATTTAAAAAAAATTCTTCATTATGGTATAAAATAATAGCAGTTTCAACTGTAGAAGAGGCAAGGATAGGTTTTATTTAGACTGCTGGAAACAAACAGTATATACTGGAAAAGTCAATGACATAGCATTCTTTCATTAAAATGTAACCAACCTATCCTTCCTTAAGGCATTTTCAATAAATGTTGATATTTGTGTTAATTACCTATTATCACACATTCTCCAAAATCCTAAATACACTCTCAAAAGAAAAGATTCTTGTTAACTTTTATATATCTACTTTTGAAAAGGTACCTATGTTTTTGCTTGATTCTAAATGTTTCATTTCTAAAGTTCATATTCTGACACACACATCATTCAATACAGATAACTTCATAATTTAAGCTTTTATTTTCAAATAAACTGGAATTTATAAATATTGAAATCACTTAGTAACTAGCAGTTGAAATCTGACATGACAACACAAAATGTGTCAGTGGATACTTTGTGAGGACTAACTTGGGGCATTATTTGGATAGGAGGCTTGCTCTAGGTAGCATTTTAAAGAATGGCTTAGTGCTATTTTTTTTGGCAAGCATGCTTCCTGTTAAGACTTTTGCCATGGGAAATGCTACATTTTGAAAAATTCAGACACTATTTTATGAAAGACTAAACACTGTTATATAAATGTTTTGTGTGTATATATATGTGTGTGTATATATAATCTCCCCTCCCACAGGGCAAGATAAACAGGTTGACTTGAGTCATTACCTCAGATCTGCTCTATATGACAAGAGATCTTGAAACATGGTTTTTATGTCCTACTTGTCCGTGACTGAATGAAAGTGCCCTACAGAATAAGATTCTAACTTCTACATTTCCTGTGTTATTCAAACTCTAAAGTCCCCATTCATATGGTGGGGGGAGTATATAATTTCAAACCAAATTAACTTTTTTTTTGGTAGGTAAAAACTGAAACTGGGTAGCTCTAATTCTGTGGGCTCTCTATTCGCCTGATTCTTTCTTTTGCTGAGAAGCTTATTAGTTTGAATCCATCCCATTTATAGATTCTTGATTTTATTTCTTGCACTATAGGAGTCTTATTAAGGAAGTTGGGGCCTAATCCAACAAAGATAATTTTAACATTGAAAAAATTTATCTTTCTTAGCTTTGGAGAAGTTAAATAACGCTTATTAGGGTCAAAAATACATACTTTCAAACTGTCAATTATACAGTACTACTTAAGTTCTAGCCAAGGTCCTGTAATTAGACACATTTTTTAAAAAATTCTCTTTGATTGGATGCCAGTACCCAAGGATAGCATTTAAAGATTTATAGCACTTTGCATATGCATTACTATATCTGAAGAAAGAATGCCTTTTCCAACAAAACTAAGTAGTTCTTAAAAAGTGTGAATACAGTATGATAGTAAAGTCATAAAACATGCATATACACCATGTGTTAAATTAACTACATGTCCTTGGCATGTGTGCATTCGCAAGTAAATAACACAGTAATGTGCTTTAACTTGCCACTCCACTTACTGAGAACATGACCTGGAATGAGATACAGTATGTGTCAATCTGTCATCCCCACAGTGAGCTTTAGTTAATTTATGTTACATCACTGGGTGAACTGAGCTAAGCTGAGGGTTTCTAGTATTTAAAGGTACTTGTATGTTTTTGGCATAAAAAGGGCATTAAAGATATGAAACCTGGTACATAAGAAACAGAAATCCATTCCAATGCCAGACAAAAAGAAAAAATCCACAATTTTTGAGACACAGATTACCATTCTTTAATGTATGCATAAATATGGCTATATATATTTTTGACTTGGAATTTTATAAGGGAAATATTGGCTATACATGACTCTTCATATAACCAAGCAAACTCTTGCATTAAATGCAATTTCACTGTATGGCTATATTGACAGAGCTACATATTAACTGGTTTTACATACTATTATTTTGGAGCTAAATAAAAAACAACAACAAAAATCTGTACAACAGTTTAAAAATTATTTTGTTGTGGGGATAGGCAACAAATAATAAAGCAAATGGATAATCCATTTGGGGAATGTGGCTGATAATGACCAGTGTTAACTAAGAGTGAATTTAATTTCTAAAGCATAATCTACCTTATTCCTGAGAGCTTAATATTAACAGAAGGCATTCATACATTGCCTTAAAAGAACTGTATTTAAAAAACTGAAAAAGGTAAAGATACTATTTAAATATTACAATAAAATATATTATTCTAACCAAAACTATTAGCAAGTGTGTTTCTCCTGAAGATTAAGTATGAAGAAAAACATATTTATGTGATGACAGAAATTAGAACTTATGATCTTATAGGAAATGTGTTTTAATTTACCTCAACTTCCTTTTATACTCGAAAAATTGCTCTAAAAAACAACCATTAATTCATCAGTTTGGCTTTTTTTTTTTTTTAAATAACATTTTTCTTCCATACCATGACTTTCTCATAAGTGTGACAGAACTTTATCTAGAATTAGAGGCAGTTTCTCTAGAAAAAGCCAGTGGTCAATATACAGGGCATAGTATTTTCATACAGATTATCTGGTAAGAAAGCTTAAATATAAATCAAATAAATTCAATGTAAGAAAATAAATTTCTTCTCATTTAATCTTCTTTTTCTGATTCTATACTAACTGAATTCTATTTTTAAATCTAAGGTGGAGAGTCAAGATCAAACCCTAATTACAGAAAATGAGACACAAAGAACAGTTGTTTAGTAAAAGTAAACTCAACAACACAGTTAAAATTAATTGGGAAAACTTTAATTATTAAGCATCAAATGTACTTTACATTGATAAATGCAATACTCAAATTGTGAAATTTTAAATATTTTTCTCAAAAAAAAGTTAGTGATTTTCTTTCTCCTGGGAAATGTGGAGACCCAACTAAGCAATAATGTGGTCAGTTCAGGTTTAGATAATATTAACATCTACACAGCTGTTCACGTTTCATGTCTATTGTGAACTTCCCATATCTTTGAATTTTAGCAAAAAATTTTCATGAGATAATTTACAGGACTGTCAATTCTTCTGAAGTGCAAACTCACAACACTCCGCTTGGATCCTGTTTTTGTTGTTTCACTGTACTTAATTTGAGAATACAGGTAATTTTTCTTTCCTAATTCCTTGGAAAAATATTTCTGCAATAAGTTTTGTATCTTGTTTACTATATATAACTGGGTTGTTTTTAAGAAAGATTATCAGCTTTGTGGTTAGTTTCCCACAGTTGATAAAAATCTATCAAAAACATCGTAATATAATTTGTAAGGAAGAAAAGTTGTTTTTCAAAGAATGCTGATCAGGAAAGAAATAGTACTTCTTATTTATATAACCACAAACACTTAAAGCTAGTCACACTGCAGGTAAATCCAATACAGTATTCAAAAGTTCTATAAAAATGAACAAAACATACATGTTTACTTCCACTGCTCCAATAGTCTATTGTAAATCTGCACGAGAATTGTGTTGCAGCAGTGTGCTGGTCCAATTTAAGAGTTCAAGGTTCTTTTTGTGTATTTGGCCCACTGACGTCCACATCCCAGTAAGTTCAGTTCAAAAGACGGAAATTAGGGCAAAGACTCCATATAATAAAGCACATGGATATGCTACTAAAAGTTGCTGTCCTTCCATGGCTAATGCAGAAATAAAAATCTTGGAAGCAGAAAAACTACACCATCCAATAATTCCAGCAGTGAGAATGATTCCTACCATTCCTCTGAAAAAAAAAAAAAAAAGGGGGAGGTGTGTGACAGATGAGATTAGTTGTATAACAACACTACAATAACCTGTTCTAAAGAAAAGCATTTTAATCCACATGTAGACATATACAGAAATAATCAAGAATTTTTTTTCAAATGTTAAAATATACCTCACAGTAAATTCAATAATGCTGAATAATAATACTTCATGTGATAAAAAGCTAATTTATAACCACATTTTGCTCTTTTAAAATATGAGATTTCCTAATTGTGGCACTTTTGAAATTCAGGCTGAAAATTTCTCTGTTGTAAAAGCTACTCTGTGCATTATTAGAACATTCAGCAGGTATCCCTGGCTTCTAACTTTAAGATACTACCATTCCTGCTTGCCCACAGCTATGACTTCAATATGTCTCTAAACATTGTCAAATGCCCCCTGGAAGCAAAACTCTACTGGATGAAAATTAGCATTTTAGTATAAAAGCAACTTCTATAAAATTCAAATATAAATATATTAATTCTTAACAAATCACAAGCACAAAGCAGCTTTTCTGAAGCATTTGTTCAAAGGCAGAATGCTGCAAAGCCATTATCTTGCCAAATTTTTCCTACTGCTCTTCTCCTAAACATTCATTTGACCATCTATCTGAAATAAAGCCTAATCATTGGTAATGTCCAGTACAAGCCACAAGGAGGTGCTTGAATTACTGAAAAAGAATTTGCACACTGGCCACAAGGAGGAACTTCATGAACAGTAATTGACCTTTCTATTTAATCTAACCTAAAAGATCATTTAAAAAGTACACATATTTAAAGCTATATACATGTAATGTTTTGAACAGCCAACAATAAAAAATTAAAAAAAAAATAAATAAAAAATAAAGCTATATACATCTGAGAACATGGGGATTCATAATAGCCTCTTATCATAAAAAGATTATGTTTCATTTTCAATTATAAAGCTGTCAAATCAAGACTATGTATTTATTATTTATTCATTTCACATATGCTCAAAGGTGTCAAACAATTTGATATGATCTAAAGCATATTAAGAAGGGTAAGCATAATTTTAAGATGAATAACTTAAACTTTTCTGCATGTGATATAATGATCACAATTATTCATTACTGCTATGACCCTGCTAAGTAAATAAACACAAAACAAGTAAAATTCTTGTTCATAGGTAAAACGAGCTTTCATAAAAGATTTTAAAATTTATTCCCATTTTCATTGCTCATCACCCAAAAGCATGTAGCAAAGTTCTTACCTACAAGAGCCACTATTTGATATGTTTGTTGAATCAGTGATTTCAAACTGAAAATAAGATGAATCCTACTACATGGAATTGGTCAATTAAACCCCAAGATAAAGATCAGTACTTACTGCAAAGAAAATATCACTGCAAAGCTGGAAAGTAGGATCATGGGAAGAAGACAATATCCCAGGACACTTGCCACACAACCAAATGAAACACCTGTCATACTCATTAAGTTCAATAAACAAAACATCCCTAGACATCCAATTGCACTGATCCCATATACGTAGCCAAACTGGATTTTGCCAGCCTACAGGTAAAGAAAAGATAACAGGTTAAAAGGCAAAAAAATAAGTTCGTTTTGACATAATTTCCCCTAAAAGAGTACATTTAGAAGATATAGAATTCAAGATCAACAAAATCTGAAGATGTATATATTCTTCACTTAGAGAAGTATAAGAACAGACTAGTTTTTATATACTTCTTAAGCTTAAAGTGCTATCACCTCCCAATACAGATATTTAATTTTCCATTTTCCAGGTAACATCTGAACTTGGCATAGAATTGAACAAATAAAAGGACAAAATCATGGTATAATTACCTAAGCTAGCTGGATTTCTAAAAAAGAACTTTGATTGAATTTAAGCAAATAAACCGGAAAGACATTCAGAATGCTTGAATTGCTAATAATCATTTGAAGGCACCTGATTTCATCCCAAATGCTCCAAAGCAACTTATTTTCACTGGCAGATGTAGCCATAATCTTTCTAATAGCAGAAATAATTTTATCAATTACTTTAAATATATATTAGCAGAGCTAGGAGGAAAGAAGTCAGGATAAGCACTAAGCTCAGGCTCTGTGGATAAAGGAGGAAAAAAAACCAAGAATATAATGGCACGTTTTTTTCTTTCATTATTTTCCAAAATAGTTACTTTTTACAGTTCTCTGACCAAATAACAACAAAACCTTAATTCTGCTCTGGTAAAAGACATCACTAGACAATTTTAGAATAGCAAAGTAGGTAAATTAGAACTACCTCACTAGTCAAGGTATGTAAAAAAAAAAAATCACTGTATTCATGTCACACCATCACTAGAACCTGGCTATAGAGGAACCTTCAAAAAGACCCTGGTTTGTCAAATTTTCTTCTCATTTAAGATTTAATCTTAAAAATTCTTCTACATTTCATATAGCAAAATGAAAAATCCTTAGAATTTTTATAACAAAATATATTTGTAAATACTTCATTAAGAGTGTGGAAATTTGAAAAAGCCAGCTGAATTCATTGATGAATTCATTCATGTAGCAATAATAAAATCCCACACTTGCATAGTGCTTTTAACTTTTCAAAGCGTTCTGCCATATTTTATCTTCAAAACAATCCTGTTAGGTAGGCAGCACAGGGTTATCTATCAGAGGGAGCTGAAGTTAGATTAAATAACTTTGTCAAGAACAAAGTAGATGTTCAAGCCCAGCTCTTCTGTAAAAATTCCATTTTTATTCACTACATTATTTATCTCTTGCAATTTAGAGATATAATATAAAACAGTAACAATTATCTTTAAAGTGTTTCTTTTCATTCTCAATATACTTTAACATTCTTGGGAGTTGGAAGATAGGGTGGAAAAATCCCATAGTTCTTCAATGTTTTGATTCATTACAAGGTAAAATATATTTAGGAAAGTAATCATGAGTCCAACAACAAAACACTGACCACCAGGTCTAGCATTTAAAAATCAATAAGCAAAAAATACTATCATTTAAAAACAGCCAAAGCAGGCTAGGTGCTGTGGCATACACCTATAATCCCAGTGACTCAGAAGGTTAAAAGCAGGGGGATCACGAGTTTGAGGCTAGTCTCAGCAACTTAAGAGAGACCCTGTCTTAAAACAAAAAATAGTAAGAGATGGTGATGTAGCTCAGTGGTAAAGCATCTCTGGGTTCAATCTCCAATACAAAAAAGACAAAGCAACAGGTAGAGAATATTGTTAATACCTGCAAAGTAGGAAGTAAAGAGACTGATTGAGGGACTGAAGCCACATATTATGTAATTTTTCCTTATTGTTTTGTTTTATCCCTAATTGGACCACTTCTTGAAATAAGAAATTACTTCTTAAATACACTACATGGTTCTACTGATGTAGAAATGATGAATAGGTATATATTCGAACAACTCAATGCTATGTAAAACACATCAAAGACTTGAGGTATAAGCAAAATTTCAAAATAGCTTTTAATAGAATATTTAAAGATTGTTAAAAATCTGAGAGATGAAATTAAAAATCTTACCAGTAACAATGTGGCTCCAAAGGCAAGGCAAAAAACCATTGGTCCTGCCAAATCAGTTTCATTCATAATGCTGCCATCTGCTACTTTTAATGGATGTAGCACTGTTAGTGTTTTTTGCCAGATGTGGTCAAAATTGATACCTAATTCTAAGGGAAAAGAAAAAAAGGACATGAACTAGAAAGGGTACCAGATGTGATGAAACAGATAATCATTACATCTCTCAGCTATGACTGGACAGCAAAAAATACATGGACAGTGGTAATAGTAAGGGGCTCTTTATCTAAGGCTTCAGGAACACCTGGTGGCCCCATGAAATTGTATACAAAATTATGTCTCTATGCATATGTGCTCATTTTTCTGAGGAGAGTATTCACAGCTTTCTTTAGACTTTTAAGGGTATCTAGTCCACACACACACAAAGAAGGTCAGAACTACTACTCTGTAGGTTTTGAAAACTACAATATTTTTTAAGTAACATTATCAGTCTATTAGTTCATTTCCATGTTCAATAATCTCTACTGTTATTTCCTTCATTTCTTTCACTGATAAAATTTAATAATCCGAAGTAAAAGTCAGTGTTTACAAACTGATATACTTTAGTATTAGTTAACAAAAAAAAAAAAAAAATCCTGTTGCCTCTGGCCCAATGTGGTTTCATATACACTTTGTTCAAAATGAGCTTCTAGCCAGGCGTGATAGTGCACACCTGTAATCCCAGCAGCTTGGAGGCTGAGGCAGGAGAACTGCGAATTCAAAGGCAGCCTCAGCAACTTAGCAAGACCCTGTGTCTAAATTAAATATAAAAAATAGCTAAATATGTGGCTCAAGAGTTAAGCATGCTGGGTTCAATTTCCAGTACCCCCCACCCCACAAAAAGCTTCTAAGTTGAAAAAATTTTTTCATATATGATTATTTTCTTAATGATACGACATCTCCTCAAAATTAAGTTTTATTTTCACTGACCAGCTAGATACTAAAGTACAGGTTGAGTATCTCTCTAACCTGAAAATTCAAAATCTGAAATGCTCCAAAACTGAAATTCTTTGAATGCTTGGCACAATTCTCAAAAAAATTCAGATTCTGGAAGATCTAACATTTCAGAGTTTTGGATTAGGGATGAGGAAATCTAATCTACAAAAATATTCTATCATCTACAAAAATACTCTAACATCTGAAAAACTTCAAAATCTAGAACACTTCTGGTCCCATGTTTTTCAGATAGAAGACATTTAACTTGTACTATAAAATGTTACACAACCAATCTTACCTTCTAATAAAGGTGGTTCATCCTCAAAGTTGTTTCCGTAGAATGGCTGAGGTGTAGCTGGAGTATATGCCTGAGTTGGCTGGAAAATCTGACCAGTGTATGGCTGTTGTGGCTGCATCATGTCTGCAGGGACAAATTGGCCTTGCTGCACATAGTCATAGCCAGCATACTGTCTACAAATCAAACACAGTTCAATTGTTCAAAAGTATTTCAATTCACTGACAGTTGATATCCTTGAAATTCCTAAACTTTCATTTGACAGGTCTTGGTCATGCTACTTCTAGGATATTAACTTTGCCAGTGCTTATAAATACTAGTTGAAATGATTGAAAGATCAAGCTGATCATCTACACTGAAAAGTCACCTGCTTTTATATAGAATCTTCCTGATGCCAGTATTCATTTGTGCAGTGTATTTTAAGTAGTTTACAAACTATTACATTTTCAAACATTAGAATGTCAACAAATAAAAACACAAATCTATTTTTCTATTTTCTTAGTGAGGGTACATAATATTACAATACTCCATGAAATAAATTTATGCATAAGAGAATGAACTGAAGCTTACGATGACAGACTTTACATGTTACATAATTTCCCACATAATTTGTGTACCTATTGAATCATCCTTTTACTTCTCATGATGTTATTTTTTGCAAGTGAGTAAATTTCTTTAACAGTCTATTTTAAACCACAGCATGGAAAAATCAAGTTTGTTTTTGTTAAATCTTTGTGAATATAATAAAACATTATTAGTACACCTTGCATTCAAATAGTACTTTTAAATTTTCAAAGTGGTTATATACCTATTGTCTCATTTGATTTGTACTAGAGAAAATCCTGGATTTAGAGGGAGACAGATACCTTACCACTGATGTTTTAGCGACAATGACAAGAAGGAACCAAAAGATACTGAAGCCACACCTTCAAATACCTGTTTGATCACATTCTGGAAAATGTACCTAATCTAGCTATGTATTAAGAAACACAGACGCAAAATAATTATTTTAAAAGTAATTTTTTTAAAAAATACCTTTATTTTGTTTATTTATTTTTATGTGGTGCTGAGGATCGAACCCAGTGCCTCACAAGTGAGGGGCAAGCACTCAACAGCTGAACCACAACCCCAGCCCCCAAAGTAAAATATTTTTTAAAAAATTACTTAGTCTATTAAATTTTTTTGGTCTCTTTTCAAAAAATACAAAAATCTAATGAGGGTTTTTTTTTTTTGTTACTGGGGATTGAATCCAGGTGTGTTCAACCACTGAGCCAGATCCCCGGCCTTTTTAAAAATATTTTTTCTAGAGATAGGGTCTCTCTGAGTTGCTTAGGGCCTCACCAAGTTGCCTTCCAAACCACTGGGATTACAGGAGTGCACCACTATGCCAGCAATATTGAGATTTTTAAAATAAAAATTCTTAATTAAACATCTCAACTAAAAGAAAATCAAAATAACATTAAATGTTTAGCTACATACAGTCCTTTTGGAGACTCCAATGTGATTCTCAAATCATAATCCTTTAAAATGTTACTATGTGCAAAGCACTGTTTTAAGTGTTTAATGTGAATTCTCTCAAATTATGCTCACTATAACCCCATGAAGTCACACCATATTAGATATTGTATTTCTCATTATAAAGATATGGAGACTGAAATTTAGATTAAAATAATTTGCCCACGGTGGTGCCTAGATTCAAAACTAGGCTTTCTGACTCCAGTGGCCAACTTAACAATTGTAATAAAAATAACTTCAAAATCCTATATCGGAGATAACTTAAGATAACTTAACAGCCTTTTCACTATGTAAATATGTTGATTTCTACTTACATACATACCCGTCCATACATGTACACCACCCAACAGGGCTAGCTAGGTGAACTACAAAAAGAATTCACATTTCCTGATTTAGCACAATATACTACTGTGATGATCTTTGCAAAGATTTATTGGAGTCTATGAAAACACAACTAAATCTCCATATGGAGGTTTCTACAATCTGCTTAACAAAGACTATTTTATATCTGAGAGAGAGAGAAAGAAGGAAATAAATGTGACTCAATAGAAAATCAAAATGAACAATACAGACTAGCAGTTCTCAAACTCTTTGGTATTAGAACCCCTTTGTATTCTTAATATGTATTGAAAACCCCAAATAAGCTATTATCTATCAAAATTTATAATAAGATAAATGTTTAATAAACATTTAAAATATTTATAAATTCATTTAAAGTGACAATTCCAATACATTATATTTTAACCTTTTTATGAAAAACTTTCTAACCAAAAAAGTATTGAAAAAGTCACACTCTATTTTTTAAAATTTCATTAATGGCTGGTTTAATAAAAGCTAGATTCTTAGAACTGCCTCTGAATTTAATCTGTTATGATATGTGGTTTTAGGTGAAGTACCTGAAGAAAACCCATTCTGCAGACATGTAGCTAGGAAAAAAAAAAGAGTACTATAATAATCTTTTTGAATTATCATGAATGTTCTTTTTGATGCTACATCGAAAATTCAAGTTGCAACATGGAACTTGAAATACCATCATTGAACTTTTTGTACTATTACATTGAAGTAACACTCTGAACGGTTCCTTTATTCTTACATCATTCTGTAAACATTATGCATTGGCCATTTAGAAAAAAGTCAGTATTAATTTTATTAATTTTGCTTATCTTCCAACTACTGGCATTTTATTCTACAATATTAAAAGATCATTTAATATCATCATTGTTCTCATCAGAAAAATAATTATTAGGAAGCTGACAATTTCAGGGTAAAAAAAAAAAAAATCTCTTTCACCTGAAAACTCAAAACTGATCATTGAAGACATATACTGTCAGTTGCTTTCTTTGAAATGACAGGCTCAGTTACTAATTTTTCAGAATATATCTGTTAAACACCCAAGTTAAATAACTGCAATTTGTCAGCTATTATTTCAAATAAAAATGGTCTCCATGAAAAAGCTGGTTGCAAACTGGTTCAGCTTGCAACTCAAATTGTACATGAGCGCTTCTTAGAGATACCATAATTTCAGTATGTAATAGATGTGCTTTACAACTGTTTCCCATTTTGTCAACAAAATATTAAAGAAATGTGTGTACTAATGGGTCAGGATTTAACAAAACAACAAATGTTATTGCTTCATTAAGGGAATACTTAAATGAAACTGACTCCCTCTGCTCTTCTACAGGTGTGTGGCCTTGAAAAATACAACTACTAGAACAATTTGATGCTCCTGTGATGATTTATACTTAGATAACAGCAGTTTTACCAAACACATTTTTACTACATCAGTGCAAATGTTAATACATCTAAAAAGCATACAGAATGTCTTAGTATTACCAAGAAAGTAACTTTTGGCTTTAAAGGCCCCCTGAAAAGTCTCAAAGATCCTCTAGGGTTTGTCGTCCACACTGAGAAATACTAATTTAGATTCACAAATTAAAAGTAAGTAAGAGAAACACTGAGAGCAATTGACCTGGCATCATCATTCCATCTTCAGGATGCTACATGAGAAAGACAACACTGTGGCATTTTACTACCTCCCTTTTCTGACAGGACCTGTGGAAGAAAACTGACTCACTCCTTTTAAAGGAAAACATGGTATGGCAGACATAATCTTTACAGATTAGCAACAGTTTCACAGCAGGAAAAGTAGCATATGCTAAATCAATCTCTGAAAAAGTACTTTATGTCTTTGTTGTTGAACAAAGACAAAGCCTCTTATTCCACAAAGGTATTATCAGTTAAGTCAAAGATGAAAACAAAAGCTCTGTGTTTTTTTTTTTTTAAGTGATTGGAAAAAAAAACATAAATGATTGCTGTTGCTATATATTTTAGAAGTATATCTAGAATACAATGTAGGATCTATTCAATATCACACATGTCAAAACAAAACAAAATAAAATAACAAAAAATAAGTTATGATAAAAGAATATTTACTTTTGGTTTTTGTTTGTTTCATTTGGTATATGAGTGTTATCAGTGATATCTGTGAAGCACCCATAGAAGACACCAGAAACTGTTAAAGCTGACATCATATGGAAAATGCTAATGATAGACTAATAAGCCAAACTTGAAGACAATCCAAATATTATGCCTTTTGAATTTAGATTTTCAACAACAAAGAGTTATCAGCTGATATTTGTTAACAAGTTAGCAAACCACACAGATAACACTTGGTAAGCTAAGATAAAGTTTTAAAATATCATAAGGTTGCAGATCTATTTTCAGATACATACAGAGTGGAAAAGCACAACTTATAAAGCTAAAGAACTTATAAAGCTAAGAAACACATATTTATTACTGCTAATATATAACACCTTTTGTTTTCCTAAGTATTATCTATAAACCCTTACTTGTTAACTGGCAGCAATGGCTATATAATTACATAAGGAGGAAAAAAAAAAAAAAAACCTTCTTCACAAATACTGAAGCAAAGCTTAGTAACCCATGATTTGGTTGGAATGGAATTATGAAAATAGTTAGCAACAGAATATCTATACAACTTCCAAATGGAGAACTGCAATTAGATGATTCTAAGAGGAGTAAGAAGATAAGCCACCTTTTTATTTATTGTTTTTTATTTTGGGGGGAGGCATACCGGGGATTGAACTCAGGGGCATATGGTTACTGAGCCACATCCCCAGCCCTATTTTAGAGACGGGGTCTCACTGAGTTGCTTAGTGCCTCACTTTTGCTGAGGCTGGCTTTGAACTCATGATCTTCCTGCCTCAGCCTCCTAAGCAGCTGGGATTACAGGCATGTGCCACTGTGCCCAGCACACATTATTAAGTGATACAAATATGGACAGGTTATAAAATAAATGCTGAGGTAGATAAACTTAGGAAGCTGCAATCTAAATGGAATACTTCTATAAGTCTAAAGATGGTTAAAAAGAAGAAATGCTGAGGTAGACAGACCTAGGAGGTTGCATCTAAATGGAATACTTCTACTAGTCTAAACATTAAGATCTTTTGGTTAAAAACAGGCTGGCATATAGAGATAGCTAGTAGCAGTCAAGCGTTGGAGAGCCTAAGTCTCTGGTCAATCTTTGGCCCTCCGATACACAAAGCAATTATCAAAAATACATATTTAGGTAAATTAATGATTGGAAACCTCTAAACATGATTTTCCCATTCTACTCAATTGTTAGATCAAAAGGGATAAATACTCATAGGTATGTAACTGAGCACTACACAAAAGGAAAAAGATAATTCATAGAGGGTATTTTTACATGTTCGCCCCTACTGTTCAACAGGTTATGTATTTACATCTCAAATTTATCAGACTTGAATAGTCTATAGGTTACAAAAAGGTCCATAGTGGGGCTGAATTTTTCTTTTTTAAAAATCATTGGCACTTTCACTCAGATACATTAATGCAATGCATTCTAGTACTACACACTTCTCACAGACTGACTAGATACACAATCTTTTCCCTCATCATGGAAAAGTCTTCATGGGGTTTTAAATCCAGGATCCATAGATGAACAACAGATGACACATGGATTGTCTACAGTTATACACACATTTATTTGGGGAGTTTATGCATGTACTTCTGAAAAATGGGTCCACAGTTTTCATAAGATTCTCAAAGTGGTCCAGGACTACCTAAAATTGTTTAGGAACCCTAATGTAGAAAACTCCTTCATTTGCCAGAAGAACAATGAGATTTATCTCTAAGGTTCTAAGAGACTAAAGATAGGATAGTTCTAGAAGAAATTGGGAAAAAACTTCAGTTAACATATTTTTGCCCCAAACTCCAGATACTATAATAAGATTCCATTCTATTTTTAACAGTTCAGACTGAAAGAACTTCAATATTCCTATTGAATCTGCAACTGATAATGTCTGCTTCAGTGTGAGCAATAATAAAAATGATTATCAATTGCTATATGAAAATCACCTGATGACTCATAACAGGGAGCTTCCATTGTTAAACAGTCTTAAACAGTGTCACCAAGCACTTTCAATTAGAGTTGATAGCTTCTTTTTTCGGGGGGGGGGGGGGGGGGGGGGGGGGGGG